ATAAGCCCGGACCCTCCAGTACAAGACTGCGAAGCTCCAACGGCTACTGGCCCCGGTCTTCCGGGCCACCCGCCCCCAGAGCTAAGACGTTCCACACGTATCAAGAAGCCAGTGGAGCGTTATGGATTCTAAGGAAGAAGGAATGCCACGAACTGTTCGCCACCGCTAAACAAGCGCTGCCAGTTTACGCTGCGCGCGCCTTCTATCTTATCTCCCTCTTCCCCTTCCCTTACCTTTCGTTCTTATAAAAACCCAAGCCGGACAATAAATGCTCGCTTTTTGCCCTGGCCACTCTGTTCGTGCATTTCGGGGCTCGGCTCAGCCGCGGGGGCCGGTTATAACAGGCTATGTGGCTCCTTGGAAAAATGGAGCACACGAAGCGCCGTTTTCGGGCATGGTGTGCGACTTGCCGACCGGATAGTGAGAGTAGCAATGGGCGTCCTGATGCAGTCATCGAGACTTGCATGTTACTGAAAGGTGTACTCTTCTAGTCGCAGAGCCCAGCGACGACTGTCGACCTGTGGAATTCCTTAATGATTAAAGCCAGCAGAGCACGTGGTGATCCATGACGATGAAGTGAGTGTCATATAAATATCGACGGAAATAGGTAACCGCCCAAACAACAGCAAGGGGTTCTCGCTCCGTGACTGAATAGGTGCGCTCAACAGGTGTAAGGAGACGGCTAGCGTAGGCTATAACGCAGTTGAATCCGTATTGGCGGTGGGCGAGAACGGCTTCGATCCCGTGACCGCCAGCCGCAGTTCAGACTTTAATCTTGGTGGATTGCTCAATGTGGACCAATGTAGGTGCCATCTCAAAAATTGTGATGAGTCAAGAGAAGGCGGCAGCTGGAATGGCCCCCACGAAAACGGAACGCCTTTCATTGGAATATCGGTAAGTCGTCGAGCGATTGCCGCCAAGTGTTTCACGAACCGCCTGAAGTAGGAACAGAGTCCTACAGAAGTCTGGAGATCTTTTGCGGATTGATGTACTGGGAAACTTTTGATGAAACAATTTTTTTCGTGGTTCTGCCACACACTAGAAACATCAACAAGGTAGCCCAACGCTGTAATCTCTCGGTGGCCGGAATGACACTCCGATGAGTTCAACAGGAGGCTGGCATTGTGAAAGACGTCGAGAATGGCCAATAGACGCTCAAGGTGGGTCTAAAATATAAGTGAAAATAGGAAGGCGTCGTCTAGGTAGCAAAGGCGCGTTAACTAGTTCAGCTCTTGTAGCAGAGTCCATTGTTCGCTCTAACGTGACTGGGGCGCTGCATAGACCAGTGGGCATAACCTCTAATTGCTGCAGACCATCGACAGATACAAAGGCAGTCTTTTATTAGTCTTTCTCGTCCACGCCAATCTGCCAACGACTGGAACGTAGGTCAATAGATGAAAAGTAGCGTGCGCCAAGAAGACAATCGAGAACGGTCATAAATGCAGCACAAAGCACAGTGTCTTGTAATTGAAGTAAATGCCGGTAACTGATGCAGAAACGTCATGTGTTCTTTTTTTTCAAACAGGACGCCGGGTAACACCCAAGGGCCTGATGGGAGCTCAATAATATCTCTACTTAACATTGTGTGCACTTCTGTTTGAATAATCTTGCGCTCCGATGGAGACGCCCGATACACTGGACGATAAAGGGTAACAGCATAACCTGTGTTGATGCAGTGCTGTACAAAAGAACTTTTGGCTGAGTGGTCAATCGTCAAGGGTCGAAGGTAGGAAGCCAAAAGGCGTATGAGAACGAACTGCTCATTGCGCTAGGGGGAGGTCTGGGGTGGTTATGGGATGGAGTGCTATGTCGATGCGTATGGCATCGGGTGTGCCAAAAGAGAAATTGGAGTATACGTCTTATGCAGAAGTTGTGACGGGGTCATTAGCTAAGCACCACAGCGTGGCGATTAAGATGCTTTGAGGGAAGACTTGCTTCATGAAGCTGAATTATATAACGGGGAGATATACCCGTTTAGCGGCTACAGTTGTGACGCAGCGAGAGACAGTAATGTCGTGTGCCAGAAGGACATCAGGAATCGGAGTGAATATGTAATCCTCATCTAACACGGACGGAGTTGTGGAAAATTCGGCGAATTGTTGCGGCATTAGGCGGTAAGCGTATGAAGTCTTTGGCACGGAGGCCACGTTAAAGTTTGGGGTGAGGATTTGGCTGAAGAGGAAGGTCCAAGCAACAAGTATAAGCGGAACAGTCTGTCAGGGCAGAATGAGTTGATAGGAAGCCCATCCCTAAGATGAGGTCATGAGGGCAGTCATGGAGCCCAATTAATACAAGAGGAACATAGCGGACGGTGATGTTTATCTACGTTTATGCGAGCTGTACACATTCATATTAGAGGAACAGTTCCACTTTCGGCGACACGTACAGCTTCTGTAGTGGAAGACGTGAGTACAGTTTTAGGGGGTGACAAGTATGAGCACTGATTATGGACACATGAGTGCCAGTATCGACTGGGACCGTCAAATAAATACTGTCCACATGCACATCTATAAGAGTCGTGTTCGCAGGAAGCGTCAACACAGGATTTTGTTCAGACGCAGGTGACGCAGCACTACCTCTAGGAGCTGCACCATGTAGGTTTTTATCGGCTACGAAGCAAAGTTGGGCGGCGAGGGATGGCGGTGCGGTTGGGGCGACGGAGAATGATGGTGTCGAGAGGACGGTGAAAGCTCAAGAAGGCGGCTGTCAGGTGTCTCAAAAGCACGGTTCGTACGTCCGGGAGAATACCAGCGAAAATTTTATGGGCGAGAAGGGGAGAAAAATTGGTTCCTGTATGGTGACGTCCATGGTGGCACGGCAGTATCGGGAGGCATGTCCTATGCGCTGGCAGCATAAGCAGATCAGGTTTGTCGTCGTGAGTTTTGCCATTCCGTTGGGTTGCAAGGTCTTGGGGAAACGATCGGGTCACTTCGAGATGCATTTATGAGCCTTGGTCTGAAGGATGAACGAGAGGTGAAACAAAAGACAGGGAACCCGAGGTTGGTGAATTCTCGTACAACTACCTGGAAAACGGAGACCACGGGGGTTGTTGGTATAGTGCCATGATTGAATGAAGAGGGCTAAAGCGGCGCTGGATTTGCCGCTTCAAGTTTCCGCCGAACGATTCATGTTATACTCCGCTCAAAGAGCAGTGTGGCAGTGCATTTCGAGCAGCTGAACGTAGTCGCCATGTTTGGCAACCGAGAAAATTGAGGGCGCACACGATAGCTCTTCGCCGTTTCGAAATGACGACATTCTTTAATGATGGGGTCGATAGTCGAGACTATGGTGTATATCAGCAAATTGAAAGTCCCGTCTGCTATCCCCTTAAAAGTGACCAACTTTGTGAGCTTCAGGCATTGCCTCGTTCACTTTCTGACAAATAGTGACCATTCCTTTTATGTAGCAGACGTACGATTCAGTTGGCGACTGAACACGGGTAGGGAGCTCCTGTCGTGCAACTGGGTGGAAACCGCTCGGGTCCCCAAAGATGTCAAGGCACGCCCATTGACAATATGCATTTTGGCAGCCTACATGTAGCAATATCAACAATCCAGTATTTGACAGTGTGTTTTTATACTGAAAAATATAAATACGCAATTGTAGAGACCATGGTCTTTATGACACCGCGCTGACAATGCTACGACTTGCACAAAAAAGCGGATGTTTCCTACACTTTGCGAAGAGACTCCTTTACACAATGCAATTTTAATGCCACTGCCATTCATTTCATTCAATGCCTGTGGAAACGCGTGCTTCCCAACTGGAGCCGTCCGTCCACCTTAGTTCAGAGAGTGGTCGTGATGCGACGCTGCATGAGAGGTAGCGCTGCTTGCATCACATGTGCTTTCGTGCGCTTTGTCCCGGAGATGTGAAAGACGTGTTTTCCTCTGCAATGTCATACGTCTGTAAAATTTGTTTCATCGTGCTCCTTCTTAGTGGCTCGAAGCAATGTCACTGCCGCTTCACAGCTCCAGTTATGCATCAGCGTTACCGTGACGCGTCCCCGTCGGTTGGCTGCGTAATGCCTTAAACGGCGACACGCTATCTCAAGACACTGCATCTTCTACAGAGCCAGCGTGACTGTCAACAGTGAACACGAGGAATGCAAGACGCCACACCACTGGATCTGTACACAACTGAACAAAAATTGCTTTATTATTTCCATCGTGAGGCACTGCATGAGGGGCTCCCTTCCACGAAACCTCACAGCAAACACGAAGGCTAGGTGATGGGTGAGAGCAGGAAAGGGCTAGAAAAGAGGGTGGTAAACAGCTGGATTGTGTGCATCAAGCTGGAATTGATAAAATAGAGGAGGCGCTGGCCATCACAATACGGTGCTGCCACCTGTCCGTGTCTCTGCATTCTCCTAATTATGGCCTCAGAAAGGGCGCACCCGCTACATCGGAGGCCATGTAATTTTTTTTCCTTTTCGAAGATCGCCGCCAGACAGCGCTCATGTCTCACGTAGCACCTCCTGAATCTCATTCATCAAATACCTTGCGTAAAATATCGAATAAAGATTTTGTTTACTCGTTTCAGACGGAAGGCTATATCGTCTTTCGACAACATTACCCGTGAATAACGCAGTTGTGCGTCTGAATATTTTCTCACAAATGCAGCGTAGTAGCAAGAATGAAGACATGAGGATGAGTGTGGCGAAGGCGAGGGCTCGCAAAGCGGATTGGTGAGCAACCAATAATATCTGCGGCATTGAATAAACAGCTCCTCTTAATGTAGCATTAAGGTCGCGTCGTAGCGGCTTTGCATACTACTCAGCCTTTCTTTTCCTGGAAGGTGTGTGAAATTTCGTTTCTAATTCCTTTGCCCTACTAGTGGTAAAGCGAAAGGGTTGCTCATGTGATTAGCATCCCTGTATTTTTCATTCTTGTTTCTCTCTCTGCCACGCTCTCTCCTCACACCTTCTTTTTAGCCACGTGAAATGCAACTCGTGAAGGACACATAACAAAAAATAAAAAAAATATTCACGTAGTTCCCACCTTTCTAGAGAGAGAGGCGCTCTGTGCTCCCCAGCCAAGTCCTGAGCCCACTGTGAGTAGTCCTGCTTTTTGAAACCACGACCAACCAGGAGTACTCTGCATGACGCCTGTAGAATAGAAAGAAGGATTACCCACTCAACTTACCGGACACAGCTCTAATAAAGCTCCTAGCAACGTGGCGCACCGCCTCAGTGTCGCCAAACAGAAAGTAGCATCAACCTACTTCAACACATTGAATAGTCTTGTAGGCCGTGCTCCCGGCACTACATTCAAACATTATTTATTGATTTGATTTCAACATACCTTACAGGCTCCGTGGTGGGAATACACAGATATATGTACATATACATACCAAATTAGATAAAATAGAAAACAACAGTTGCGAAATAGTAAGCTCAATAAAAAGCATTGCAGTTTGAAATGTACTGTGCAATAGGTGCACGCATGAGAACAAAAAAAGGGAAAAGTGCGTTTCTTGGACGCCAAAATAGAGCGGCTACAAAGCACTGCTCGCGTTCATAGCGGTAAAAAAACTGAAAAATCACAGCTTTGCCACCAAGGCAAAGCGATGAACGCCATGACAACAAAAATGAATGGTCACGCAAAGAAGAGCGAAGAGATCGAAACGTGCTCCGCATTTCTCATCCACAAATGACGCACGAAACGTACTCAAAGATATAGATATAAGCGAATAAGCGTCTCAGTTGTTACTTCTCTGTGTCTGAAAAGCGCGTCCTCTTCGCAAACGATGACTGCGCAGCGCTTGCAGTGAGCATTGTGCGCCCGCTTACTACAACAGAATTGTTGCGGTGAAGAGCCAAGACGTACGAATATCCCCGCCGTGAGATAATCACGCACACGCGTGAACGTCCACACGGACCCTCTCCATGGGAAAGTATTTATGTGAGATAAGAGTGCGTGCCGCCACGTCGTGGTGGTCTGGCGACGCGCGCTCATTGTGTCATCTCGTAGGTTATGCTGAATACACCACAGTTCCCTCAAGATGGCCATTGACAGCGGTAAGTGGTACATATAAATAGCTGGCCGTTTTAACGTTCAAGGAGGTGTTCCTTCTTGGCTCACTAGCTGACTCCTCTCACTCAGAAGCAAGAGGTAGGATGTTCGATTCCGGCCCCGCCGCGGTGGTCTAGTGGCCAAGGTACTCGCCTGCTGACCCGCAGGTCGAGGGATCGAATCCCGGCTGCGGCGGCTGCATTTCCGTTGGAGGTGGAAACGTTGTAGGCTCATGTGCTCAGATTTGGGCGCATGTTAAAGAACCCCAGGTGGGCGAAATTTCCGGAGCCCTCCACTATGGCATCTCTCATAATCACAGGATGGTTTTAGAACGCTAAACGCCACAAATCAATAAATCAAATGAACGTTCGATTCCGTGTACTTGAGTGTCTTTCCTGATTATTTTTTTCTTGTGTCTTCATATATAGAGATGCGTATACATATGCGGCAAATGACGGCAACGCCAACGCCCTCGCTGGCGACAAGGTGCCAACCGAAAGTGTCGATATAATTGCTATCGCAATGGGACGAGTTCATACTTTAAAAACACGGACAAAATCAAAATTTCTAACACACAAGATAAAAAATGGCCCCATATCTGCATGTTTCATGTCGTCGAAAGACGATAGTTTTGCGTGTAGAGAGTGAACGAAACATTTACTTAATGTTCTGCGCTAGAAAAATGGTGAATTGTATTCTGGAAGAGCTTCATTAGAGGGTCTCGATCCGTGCAGCGAAGGCGCATAGAGGCACGTCAGACACGAGTGCCATCTGACAGTTATCTTCGAAAACGAAAAAAGGAGTGCGCGCCTGCGGAGAATGATGCGTGCCAGTCTTTGAGGCGATATGGTGTACAACGCAAATCGACGGGCAGGTGCCACCACCATGTCGTCTCAGCAAAGCGTTCCAAACACTTGCCTTTTGAGCATCACCTTGCACTGTCAGCGTAGCGTGATAGACGCTATGATCCTTAGAATTACTTGTTCGTGCCTTCTCTTGTATAAAGACACACTTACAAAATATAGACGTGTTATGGTGCCTCAGATATGTACAATAATTTCTTTTTATTGACAATTACACAAGTGCGAACGCTGAAACTAACGCAATATTGTTGGGCGCTGCGGATGGGGTTGGCCGTTTGAAGTATCGTTTGGTGCCGTTTGGGGTATGGTTACCGCGGACAAACGAACAAATGTACAGACAGACAGACAGACAGACAGACAGACAGACAGACAGACAGACAGACAGACAGACAGACAGACAGACAGACTAAAACTTTGGCATCGAAGGTACCCAAGAAAGACTATCGTCTTTAAAAAACGATACACTTCACAGTGGCGATGAACCTCGATATCATGGAGTGGTGCCCTCTCGCGTTTGACGTCAACTTCATTCACTTCGCTCTTAACCACGCTGCAGCAGCCTCTGCTTTTGAGTACAGATCGTCTGCTGCTGGCGGGAACGTTGTGGAAAGAACAGCCTCGCGAACGTCAACTAACGCCCGCAACAAATGTTTTCGAGTGCAATCATAAGGTTTTTTTTAGTTGCAGCCTGAACGACAGGACCAAAAAACCCCCAGATGGCCAATGAGCTCGCCAATCCCATGAACGCATTGCTCACAAGAAACTGGAACTATTTGTGAGTGTTCTCGCTCTTCATCTGCAATCTCCACAGTGCGATGTTAATTAGTTCGGATGTTAGGAATGTTTCATCAACGTGATTTTCTCCAGCATCTACATGCATGTAGATACCGCTACTGAGACATCGCGGTGTCTCACCGATGGCGCGATGGTGTACGACACCGGGTTTCCCTCGCTGGACTCCGTGCCCACCTGTTGTGCCCTCGCAATCTCCGACGACAGCACAGCTCTGGCTGACTGGGCTGGTGGTGGTGGTGGTAGTGGTTGTAAGGAAGAGGAAAAAAGCACCCAATTTCTGCTCTGCCTATAGGCGACACGGCGCAGTGCCTGGGCTGGTCCTAAGCTATCTCCTGCCGCCGGTCCCCTACGACGACGTCAGCGCAGCTCTGGCCGACTGGATTAGCCCTACGCCACCTCCTGTCGGCGACAAGAGCTCTCACAAGTGGTGCCCCACCCTCGGACTCCTGTGACCGTGTTTCTATCTTTCCTATCTCCCCTATTTCTCATATGTCGTTGCTCGTCGTCCTAGCGCATCTCTCTTTCTCTCTATACCTTTAATCATATCCTTTAATCCCTCCTCACCCCCATCCCTTGTGAGCTACTGTTGAGGTGTCGCACGCTGATGCAGACAGTTACAGGGCTCACTTTTCTCTTCTTTTCCCTCTTATGACCACAAATCTGTACGACGCCGGCCATGTTTGGATGTGCGCAGCCGGAGCCATCAATGGAGATCGCATCACCGTGGCGGCTCTGCTCCTGCAAACACGTGCACTTGTGAACCCACCTCACAACATCCCTGTGGTGATCAACTGCTGTGCACTGCTGCTCCATGCCTCAGTGTGCTCCGTCGGCCCGCGAAGAGCACGCTAGCTTTACAATAATCATAAAGAGAAACACACGGTGGCCCTTTTTCTTTTAATATTTGTTCTGAAATACGAGTGTGGCAGTGAACACGAGGATATGCGTGATGATCGCTGATTTCTGACACTCTGGCATCGGCAAACAACAAATGAAACATTTACCGCTGAGCGGCTGTTTGAATTGCGGCTTCGGCAGTCAATCGACCTCACATGATATCTGCTACAAACGCAAAGCAGCATAAAATTACCAAATTTGCGGCAATCGTGCTCGGATTGCAGTTATGGGCGTCAGCAAGGTGTAACCCGTGTTGTCTCACAGTAACACGAGTCTTGAGTAGTAGGTTCTGGTGTGACTCGGGAAGGGGACAACTTCCGCCTTAATGCACTCCATTTCCAATGCAAATGCCTGCACTATGTCTCAATAATGTTTGTTCACTGAGAGCGACATCATGTATACTTCCTAATAATACCACACAGGGCCGTCGCTCGGGTACCAGAATATAAGAGTTATCGTTGATTGTAGATACCGCGCAAGGGCCACCAAGACTATGTGACAGCCTTTATCGACGGGAGGTTTCGCTTATGAATCTATGGTAAGCACTGTGCTGCGCACGCTTGTCTTGATCAGTAAAGTACGTATATACATTATACCTATATATATTTATATGTGTCATTCCATGCCAAGTGTCCCAGACGTGGCGCTCGGCAATCGCACATTCGGCCGATAAAATTTACACTGCTTCTGTATACCAAATTGAGTATTAGGGTCAAACATTTTAGCTTGAAAAACTTTTTCAGGACCATAGCGCCCCCTTAAAGTTCGCTTGCTTTTGCCGAAATGTACACTATAGAAAAATGTATGTAGAATTTATATTTGTTTGTAAAACTTTGAAACACTGCTTGAGCTGCTAAAGAGGTTGTGTTCAGTTGTGCTACTTAAGCATTCAGAAATTTTTGCGTTTACCTAGCACTTAGGCTTTTTCAAAGTCTAAAAAATCCTCAAAGTATATTTTTCATTTTTGCTACGTTAGCTAGAACTCTCTCTGAGCAATATTAATATTAATGTGATTTTTAGAAAGCTTACTATAGTGCAAAAGTGTTTAAAAACAAAATAAACTCTGAATATTTTAGGAAAAATTGTGAAGTGGCAGAAGTATGCATTGTGTCGAATATTTGACCTCACATTTCCTACTAAAGCGGCCCCAAAGAGTCTCTCGCGATGTTGTGTTTGATAGACCACTTCATATCCAAGTAATTGAGAAAGTCTAATAAATTTAGTTTTTGTTTTGGAAAAGAAAATAATTTTTGAATTTCGTCTTTTGAACACTCTCTGCGTTCATTTGTTGCCCCTTCACCGCAAAGCATGCGGTCACCCTTTCGGCTAACGCTCATCACAGGAAGCGACAAAGTGTGAGAAGTGTGTAAGTGACTTATGAATGGTCGAAACTCTTGTTGCTTTGGTTCCAAGGTCACTCGCATTCGTTCGCTTTACCATGTGAGCTTCCTCGGTGTGCCCATTGCGAAGTATGGAAGCTGTACAGTAGGTAGCGGCAGCATTGGCACTTTGCGTTACAGGGCTGTTTGCACTACCAG